CTAGCAGCTGTTGCTGTTAATAAGGCTGTCATTCCAACAGCAAAACTACCTGTTTAATTATATATTAATAAAGATGCAACAGATAAGGCTGCCAATGCAATATTAACTTAATTATGATAAGGAATAACAGTTGGATTTGAAGGCAAAAGATTCTATAATTTAGCAAAGGCAATAAGTGATCCAGTAAAAGTAATACCACCTGTGAAAATACCAAAGAAGATTGATAATTTATGAACAAGTGCAGCTGGATCTTCAGCCAAATGAGGGAATACATGTAAATAATTACCAATAGATGTTAATACTGCTGCCAATCCAACAAATGAATGGAAACAAGCAACTAATTAAGGTAAATCAGTAATAGCAACTCTTGTAGCAACTGTACCTCCAATAGTAGCACCTAACATAACCATTGATGCCCATTAAGCTAATAATTCTGGAGAATATCCTTTATATCCTAAAGTTGCAGCAACACCCAATCCAACTCCCAAACAACCAAAACTATTACCAATTCTAGCTGTCTATTATTATGCTAATCCAGCAAGTGCTAATATACAAGCTATAGATGAAGCTAAATATGAAAGATTTGTCAATGGTTCTTTTGGAATTCCATAATAAAGTCCACCATAATATCCAAGTACTCCTGTAGCACCTGCTAATGCCATTAAATAATTGTATTCAGCAGGGTCAGTTGGTCTTCTAAACATATTTAACATTCTTTATGTGACTAAGAAACCACCAGAAATATTGAGTGATGCTATGGCAACAGAGATTGCTGCCAATAACCCAGTAAAGGATCCTGGTAAATATTTTCCATCCATCAATTCCATACCACCAACTATAATTATACCAGATACTGCATTTGTAACTGACATAAGTGGTGAATGTAAGGCTGGAGTCACACCCCAAACCACTTGATAACCAACAATTCCTGCCAAAGCAAAAGTATTTAACATTTTTAAGAATTCCATATTTGGAGATTGATAACCTAAAGCCATCATTGCCATAAGTGAAGCTGATGTATTAATTACATTCTTCCAAGCTTATTTATATGGATCTACTTTAACTTCTTATTTTTTATGAGAAGCAGCTTTTGATGTATCAGCTTATTAGAGTTCACTCTTAGATGTAATGATAGGAGGAGGTGGCCATTTCAATTCTCCATTTAATGTTACTAATGATTATCTTACAACATCATCATTCAAATCCACTTATGTCATTTTTCCATTTGGATCTTTGATTGTTCCGACAATGTATTACATCAATTTTCCAATATTATTAGCATATAATGTTGAACTTTAAGTAGGTAATCTGCTAGGTAAATCAGTATATCCAATAATTTTAACTTTTCCTTAATGATTATATAATTCTCCTGGTTTGCATAATTCACAATTTCCTCCTGTTTCAGCAGCCAAATCAACAATAATTGATCCNCTAGCAGCTGTTGCTGTTAATAAGGCTGTCATTCCAACAGCAAAACTACCTGTTTAATTATATATTAATAAAGATGCAACAGATAAGGCTGCTAATGCAATATTAACTTAATTATGATAAGGAATAACAGTTGGATTTGAAGGCAAAAGATTTTACAATTTAGCAAAGGCAATAAGTGATCCAGTAAATGTAATACCACCTGTGAAAATACCAAAGAAGATTGATAATTTATGAACAAGTGCAGCTGGATCTTCAGCCAAATGAGGGAATACATGTAAATAATTACCAATAGATGTTAATACTGCTGCCAATCCAACAAATGAATGGAAACAAGCAACTAATTAAGGTAAATCAGTAATAGCAACTCTTGTAGCAACTGTACCTCCAATAGTAGCACCTAACATAACCATTGATGCCCATTAAGCTAATAATTCTGGAGAATATCCTTTATATCCTAAAGTTGCAGCAACACCCAATCCAACTCCCAAACAACCAAAACTATTACCAATTCTAGCTGTCTATTATTGTGCTAATCCACCAAGAGCTAATATACAAGCTATAGATGAAGCTAAATATGAAAGATTTGTCAATGGTTCTTTTGGAATTCCATAATAAAGTCCACCATAATATCCAAGTACTCCTGTAGCACCTGCTAATGCCATTAAATAATTGTATTCAGCAGGGTCAGTTGGTCTTCTAAACATATTTAACATTCTTTATGTGACTAAGAAACCACCAGAAATATTGAGTGATGCTATGGCAACAGAGATGGCTGCCAATAACCCAGTAAAAGATCCTGGTAAATATTTTCCATCCATCAATTCCATACCACCAACTATAATTATACCAGATACTGCATTTGTAACTGACATAAGTGGTGAATGTAAGGCTGGAGTAACACCCCAAACCACTTGATAACCAACAATACCTGCTAAAGCAAAAGTATTTAACATTTTTAAGAATTCCATATTAGGAGATTGATAACCTAAAGCCATCATTGCCATAAGTGAAGCTGATGTATTAATAACATTTTTCCAAGCTTATTTGTATGGATCTACTTAAACTTCTTATTTTTTATGAGAAGCAGCTTTAGATGTATCAGCTTATTGGAGTTCACTTTTAGATGTAACGATAGGTGGAGGTGGCCATTTCAATTCTCCATTTAATGTTACTAATGATTATCTTACAACATCATCATTCAAATCCACTTATGTCATTTTTCCATTTGGATCTTTGATTGTTCCTACAATGTATTACATCAATTTTCCAATATTATTAGCATATAATGTTGAACTTTAAGTAGGTAATCTGCTTGGTAAATCAGTATATCCAATAATTTTAACTTTTCCTTAATGATTATATAATTCCCCTGGTTTGCATAATTCACAATTTCCTCCTGTTTCAGCAGCTAAATCAACAATAACTGATCCTTATTTCATGTTTTCTACTAATTCTTTTGATAATAATTTTGGTGCTGGTCTTCCTGGAATAAGAGCAGTAGTAATAATAATATCAACTTCTTTAGCTTATTTTAAGAATAATGCTAATTCTGCTTCTAAATATTCTTTTCCCATTTCCTTAGCATATCCACCAATACCTGCACCATCAACAACTTCTCCATTTATTTTGACTTCCAAAAATTCAGCTCCACATGACTTCACTTATTCTTTAGTTGCTAATCTTGTATCAAATGCTCTAACAATAGCTCCCATATTTTTAGCAGTTACAATAGCTGATAAACCAGCTACTCCTGCTCCAATTACTAATACTTTAGCAGGTGGTACTTTTCCTGCTGCTGTCATTTAACCAGCAAAGAATCTACCAAATTCATTTGCTGCCAATAAAACTGCTTTATATCCTGCAATGTTAGCCATAGAACTCAAGGCATCATATGTTTAAGCTCTAGTAATTCTAGGAACACATTCCATAGCAAATGTTGTTATCTTCTTCTCTTATAATTAATTAAGTAATTCTTTATTCTATGCTGGGTATATGAAAGAAGTCTATATTTATTAAAAATAAGTACAATAGTTTGACTTTCTTTCAAAGCCTTTGTATTTTCAGGAGGTCTAATTTTTAAGATTACATCAGATTAATCATAAACTGAATTTGTATCAACTACTTTTGCTCCGACTTCTTAATAAACATTATCTGCAAAATTGGCCTTTAAACCAGCTCCACTTTCAATGAGGACCTAATTATTAATAAATTGTCTAAACTTAATGTCCATCTTTAAGTAAATTTTTAATGGATTCTGGTGTTGCTGCCACTCTATTTTCATTTGGATATGTTTCTTTTGGAACACCAAATATAAACTTAGGGTGACTTGGCTTCTTATCACCTTTACTTGAAAAGCATGTTCTTGCACTTAATAACAATTGCTTTGTTGCTTGGCGATGAAATCCTAGCATAAAATAAATATCTTTTTTTATAAACAATATGTTCCTATTTATACAATTAATTAAAAAGAAATCTTTGCCATATAATTTATTTTAAATATTTGTTATGAGAACTGCAAATTCAAATTAAGGGTAATCAATAGTCCCTGATACAAATGAAATTAATGAGTACATTAGGGAGTACTTAAGATATTCTAACTATTCTAATACTTTAGAATGTTTTGATGCAGAAATAAAGAGTAAATAGGTATCCAATAAAGTAGATAATTAAATTAATATTCTAGATGTTAAATAAATAATAAGTTATCAAATAAACAGGGGATGATATGCCTCGTATATTTTAATTGCTTAAAAGCGATAATATAAAAACAAAAAGAGAAATCAATTTAGAGAAGGAATAAAAATAATTTAATAAGAAATACTAATAAATTTTATAGGCAGGCAGATAAATATTTTCTGTTAGCATAAATTTATTATAATTATTACATTCATTAAAAGAGACAGCTAAAAATGAAAATCTAAGCGAAACTTTAGAAAACTATAAAATATAATTGGGAAAATATCATAAAGTTATTATAAATGAAGGTAAACCAGAAGGTACAGAATTGATTACTGAATAAGTCATGCATGAACATAAAACTAAGCTATTTAAAAATTATTAGGATAAACATGTAGATGGAATGATTGAAGTTTTATTATCTCTTAGAGTGAATGCATTATAAATTGCACCAGAATTAAGAAAAAACTTAGTTTATGAATTAATAAGAAATGATGTATTTAATATTGAAGCAACAGACAAATTTGATTTTGTTGTTCATTTATTAGATATCAATAATTAAAGTTTAAGACATGCAATTACTAGTTTAATAAGTGTGATCAGTAGTACATTAAGAGGTGTAGAATACTTAACTTATAATGGAAATATGATAATCATAGAAAAAATAATAAAAATTTTAAAAGAATAAGAAAACGGTTCAGTAACTTAAAGATTCTGTTTAGCAATTTTATAAAAAGCAAGTATAAAAGATACTGTAATTCCATCTTATGTTTAAAATGAAATGATTTAATGGATTATTAATCTCATTCAAAAATCAATTAATACTAAAATTCATGTATTTTGTCTTGATTTTGCTTCAGCAACATTAGCTAATATTATTCATACTCCATATACATTATAATATTTGGAACATTAACCAAGATTTGCACATTAAGTAATGGAATAATTGTTAAAATTTATAAAAGATTAAATATAAGTTTCAGTACTTATGCATATTTTAATTTGTTTATCTTATTTAAGTAAAGAAAACTTTGCAAAATAAATGGAAGAATGTAGATTTGTAGATAGAATAAGCTAATTTGTTGAATTTTATAGTGTCATTAATACTGGTATAAATAAAAATGATATATTTAATAGAAAATGAAGCAGCAGAAATTGATAAAAAAACAGTTTTAGATTTATGTGCTCATATGTTTCATCCCAAGGATACTTCTTTAGATAATTCTGAAACATTAGAATTAAATGAATTAAAAACTGAAGATAGAATAAGAGAATACGAAAATGAACAAGGAGAATTAATCTTTGAATGTTTCCAAGATGAAGTTAGTTGAATATTTATTTTTATATATTTATTTAAAATTGAATTATATATTGATAAATTAATTATTTGGTTTTATATCTTATACATTTATACTTCTAGTCGATATTTCGTTTTAGAATTATTTGATCTTTCTTACAAAAATATAAAATTATTTTCCCAAAATACATCACAATAGGAAATTTATTTTTCTCAATTATTAAACAAGACCGATGCTAAATTTTTCACTAATTTTTATTTTAACTTATTGTCTTATTAATGCAATTTTCTTAATCAGATAAAGATTGTCAATCAGAGCTCCCTTAAGACTTTAAAAATGCTAACTTCCGAAAGAGAAAACCTATTGATTCCGATACGAAAACCAACTTGATACTTAGTGTAGTCAAAGATCATTTGCCAATATATTAGGTATTAAAGTATCCCTATATTTTTAGGCAGCAATTATCCATAAAGTTAAATATTCATCAGCAAAACACATTTTAAGAAATTACTACAGTGATACTGCTAACTACTTTTCCCTTCAAAAAAAGAGAAGAAGAAAGATACAATGTTGTGGTGTCTCCGCTTTAATTGAACTTAACAGTGGAAATATAGCTTTATATTCTCAAGGGTTTTCCACAATCCCTTTTATTAAAAATGGTGTAAATGCCCAAATCAAATAAAAAGTAATTGATCATTTGAGTGTTTCAATATACAAACAAATAGGTACCATAAATTTCAAGAGGTTAAATAAGAAAGCTAGAATAGACCCAATTAAACAGTTAAATAATATAGAAAAAATTGAAAACAAAGTTAAATTTCTAATTCAGACACTTGAAAAATAACATCAAGAAATGATATAATGATAAATTACAAACTATTCTTATTAATTACATATTTTCTCTGTTTGTAAAATTCTTAACATCTTTATAAATAAATGACAAAAAGATTTAAAAAAGTGGAAAAAAAAATGATTTATTTTTAAATAATAATTAGTATATATGTATATATATATAACTATTTTTAAATTGTTTGTAAAAGAATTTATGTTTGAAGACTTCATTTAGTTTCATACTAGTTTACAATATATGAATAAAATTTGAATGCATCAAAATTTAAATATATTTATAGGTTATGACTTAAACATAAGAAAAACATATATTTATGGTATTTATGGGTTTTATAATTCTGCTATAATTACCATAAAGTTTTTTAACACCCTAAATATATACAATTGTAACTTATTATTTGAATTAATATGTAATTAAAAGTTTATGAGTGAGCATTAAAGAATTTAATACTAATGTTATTATTTAATACTTAATTATAATTTAACACGTACTTCATAATAAGAAATTAAATTTAAATAAAAAATTATCATTATGATTATTTAGTTTTAAGTCTATAATAATTATTTTACAATACTAGAGGTAAACAAGTTGTAAAATAAAATTTAGATTTTTGTATGTTATCTATATCTAATTTGCATGATGAACTTGTTTAAAATCTTTAATTTGAAGAAGTTTATGTTGGATGTCTTCGAATATGATAACTAATATTTTCTAAAGCAGTTCCTAGAATTCCAGGAGTAGATGAATGCTTTTTTGTTTATTTCTTATTTTTATTTTTCTATTTTAATGATTATTATATAATTAATTCTTCTGTTTTTTATCTTGAATGTTAAGCAGATTAAGCAGATTTTAATAGTTTATTTAAATAAGCTTATTCAGATTCAACAGGATTATCTAATGTTAAAGTTTATTATCTTAATCTATTATCATCTAATTTTATTCTGCTACTAATCTTAAAAATTTAATTAGTGCTATTAAATAATAATTTTTATTAATTTTCTTAAATTTAGAGTAGATTTTCTGGTTTTAAGAATGTTTTATTTTAAGTTCTTTCAAGTAAATTAATTTTTTCTGTTTGATCTATAAAATTTTTTTCATATACTCTAATTTATTATAAAATCTATTTTAATTTTTTGTCATTTAAAGCAGTCAAACTTTTATTTAATGCAGGATCACAATATAAAACTCTCATGAAATCTCTCTTAGAAACTGAATAGACACTATTACTTTCAAAAGTAGAGACTATACTAAACTATCTAATTAAATCTGGAGCTTTTAAGATTTCTAATTCTCCAAACATTTCTCCTGCTCCCAGAAATTTTAATGTCATAATTAACTTTTTATCACTAGCAATAAGATTTCCATATTTTTTTTTCTGATATAATTTATCAATTTTTTCTTAATTTGTTAATGAAGGTTTATTGTATGCAAATTATTATTTTAAAAATTCTACATCATCATCACTTTCTTAATAATTATTAGTTTATTCCTTATTCATTCTTAAACATTTAATAACCTAAAGATTTTTAAAGTAAATACTTTAAATTCACCTGATTATATGAAATAAACTTCATTAGATGGATCACCTTCTTTATATACAGTGTGATTCAATCTAAATTTATTTAATTTCATAACATCGAACAAAGATTTAACACTCATAAACTTCCAGTCTTTAAAAATAGAGAGTTTTGCAAATTCTTCAAAATACATCTGCCTTTATTGATTTATCTTTTGGATTAGGAAAATAAATACCACAGTTTTTTTGATAACCATATAATCCTCTGCATCTAAGACTGCTAAATGAGTTGGAATTACAGCAGTAATAGAAGCAGATCTAGGTTCATTATTTTCTAATGCAAGCTCACCAAAGGCTTAACCATCACTCATTTGGATTAACTCCTTTTCTTGATAACAATCTCCAACAAACATTCTTTTATGAATTGACACTCTACCTTACAAAATAATATAGAATGTAGTTCCCACATCACCTTAAATATAATTAATATTAACTCACCTTCTCTAAATAGAGTTTCACCCTTTCTTAGAGATTTGTAACTCATTTTTCTTAAACATCTCTCCCAAAGTAAAACTCCTTAGTCTTTTTCTAGTAATTTCTAAAAATAAACTATATGTTTAGTAGCTTTCTTCAAAATCTCAATTTCATATTATGTTCTATGATATGAAGATTTGGTAAGTATAATGAAAATTATTCCAAATATTTAATCTTGATTCAGATTCTCATAAATTTATGGTTCTTATTCCATTTATAAGATATACTACTTTAATTCTTTAATCTCATCTTCTTTGAATTAATGAACATTTTATGAACTTTTCATTATATTAATTTTATTATAACTTATAAATTCAATTAATTTAAAATCTTTCATTTTATATTCAAAGACTTTTTTATTTTCTCCAAATTAAGATTAGGATGTTAATTTTAAAATATTACTATATAAATTATAGGAAATTAAAAATTAATATCCTAATAATTAATCTCTTGATATTTTAATTAACAAATCTCATTCCTCTAAAATAAAATAAATTAATTTATTTAATAAAAAATAATTTATCTTTAATTCATAATAATTTTATCTAATTCTCCAATTTATTATATGAAATCTTGAAACTACATATTCAAGTATCTTAATATAAAATAACTAAACTAATAAAATTAATATTATTATTAGAAATATAAATAGTAGAATATTAATGTTAAAATTGAGTAAAGAAAGTGTTTTTGCTGTAAAAAAGTAATAAAATAAAAGTTTTTTTATAGATGAAAAATATTCATCTTTTAAAAAAGAATAATATTTTTGTATATCTCATATTCTTAAATTGAACTTTGATAAATATAATCTTCTAAAGCAAATTGGAAGAAGCTAAAGGTAATATATTAAATGATAAATGAAGACAAGATATAATTTAGATTTTTTAATTAAGGATTATTTAAGTATTTAGAGATATTAAATTATATAATAGTAATTGAAATTCTTTCAAAAATTATAAATTCATTTACTTACATAACTTACAATTTACAATGACTAAATTAAAAGATAGTTAAGAATGTTGTTATTTTTTATGGATTTATAATAAAATGAATATATTTATAAAAAATTATCATAGATCTAGAATTTGTTTCATATTTTGTTGAAGAGAATAATCTATTTTAATTAAAATGATTATTATAAAATATTTATCAGTTTATTGATTTTATACAATCAAAAATATGGAATAGAAGTTTAGCTTGATTCCCAAGGTTGTAGTTCTTCTAAAATTTATGGTTCTGTAATATTAATTTTAGAAGGAAATTATTTCTTTATTTTAATAGGAGTGTATAATTAAGGAAGTACAACATTTTAATTTGCTTTATAATGTTTTAATTGAGTTTTCAATAGATTAGAATTGGTACAAGAGTTTTCAAAATTAAATTTTTTTGGGCTTTTCTTTTTTGTGATTTCATTAATATAATATTGATAAGAAGAATCTTTATTTGGATGGTTTTTGGCATTGATTAATTCAGGATTAATAAAATGAGATTTTGTAGTTTAATTGTGATTTGGAGATAGTTGTAAATTGATAGGTTGATGTTGTAATCGAGTTGATTATAAGTTAATTTTATATCCAAAAACAGGTAGCACTTTTTAATTGTTTATTTATTTTGTTAATGATCGCTTAAGAAATAATTAATATGTTGCAATTGGATTGTTTTAAGTGTTTTAAAGATTCTCCATATTAATAAAGAAATCGTAATCTAAGATATAATTAATTTTAAAGAAATATCTAACTTTTGATAATACAAAAATTTATTCTCAGAATTCAATGTTAGATTTATAGTGCATCTTTAAGAATCGAAGAGAACACTGGTTTAACAACAATTTATTCAACTCCAGCTTCATAACATAATTATTTAGTCTCTTCATCTTCATGAGCAGTACATGCAATAATTTAAAATGGATTTATTTTTTCTTAATCAATTAAATTAGAAAGAATTGAAGTTGCAGTTATGCCATCCATAACAGGCATATCAACATCCATTAAAATTGTTCTTATTTTGATATTTTTTTATCTCTTTACAAAATCTACAATCTCTTAACCATTATAACAATGTATAATTCTATGATATCCTAAACTTTTTAGAACCATCTCTAAAGAAATATGATTAAAAGGCTCATCATCAACAACAACTATTGCTCCAGATTCTTCTACTAAATTTTATTTACTCCTTTTCTATGTTTATCGAAATTATGATTATCCTTGAATTAATTTAGTATTTCTTTGAGTAACTCTAGTATTTTAACGAAAATAATTATTGTTTAGACTTTTTAACATGCTTGGTTTAACATGATCTAATTTTTTAATTTGACCAACAACTATTTTTTCATCTTCAACTACACAATTAGCTTCTGATTATAAAGTGAGGAAATCAACTATCATATTATTAGATCTCATTGATATATTTCTTATTCTTCTTGTAGATTATGGATGTAAACCACTTGGTAAATCTAAATCTCCTATAGTGAATGAAAACTTAGAACCTTATCCAGGTAAGCTCTCTATTTTGAATGGACATTATCCATTTAATTAGTATATTAATTTAGTAGTAATTTTCAAACTTATTCCTAATACTTCATTTTTTTAATTTTAATTTTATTAACATTTTCCTTTATCTACTGATTAAGTTTATAATTGGCTTTGCTAATATATTTTATTTCATAATATACTTTTCTTGATCTAAATTATTGTTATTAATGATGCATTTACATCTATTTAGCAATTTCATCTTGAGCTTATTAACTTAAACCAACACCACTATCAGAGATAATAAATTAAATTAATCTAGAATCTCCATGTTTTACTTCCTCTACATCTAATTCTATAAATCCTCCTTATGGCGTAAATCTATAAGCATTATTTAATAGGTTCACTAAGATTCTCATCAATTTATTGAGGTCTGACTAAATAAAGCAAAATCTGTAATAATCATTTTAAATATTACATATCCTGTTTGGACTCCAAAATCTTATCAAAATCTTCATTATTATAATTGATCCTAAATTATATACTCTTCTAACTACATTAAGTGATAATTAAGTCTTTAATTTCTGATATTAATTTCATTACATTTATGGTTTTTACATTCAAATTTTGCCTTTAATATGAATAATAAGAAACATAATCTAAAATATCTTAGATAGTATAAAGCAATATCTTTGAATTCCAATAACAAGGTTTAATAAAAGTATCTATAAATTATTTGGTTAAATTTTAATCATTTAGACAGATTTCTAAATAAGTGATGACAGCATGTAAAGGAGTTTTCAATTTATGGCTAAATGAACTTATAAGATTATTTCTAAACTTTTAATCTTTTTTAAAATCACCATAATTTTCATTAATTAACTAAAATATATATTAAAAATGAAAATACTTAAAAAGAAAATATATATAATGTTTAATTTTTTTGGATTGTTTATGAGAATTTTAAGTAATATCTAAGTTTTTCTTAATTAGGTCCTAAAATTTTAAATTTATAATAATTGCATTCAAAATCAATATTTTAAGCATTTTCAATTATTTATCTTAATGAAAGTGTTTTTTTAGTCATGTTTTCATTTTAACTATAACCACTGACTTTAATATCTTCTAAAAAGGTTATATTATCAGTTTATTTTTGAGTCAATAATTTGAGATTAACAATATTTTAGGATTCAGATCTATTGGGATTATATGTAACATTTTCAGTTTAATTTTAAGATTCTAAAAATGATTCAATTTTATCCATATGCTAAGTCTTATAAATTAATTTGTAATTTTAATCATATACTAAAATTCCTATATTTAAATAATTAACCATTCCATTCAAGTAATCTAATTAACATTCTATTTCTTCTTAATAATTAATTGAATTAGTTTATGTTTAAATATTAAATGCTTAGATTTAAATTTCATTAAACAAAGCAATTATCATAAATAAGATCTAAAATACGAAAGAGATTGATGTCGAATTTTAATTAGCTTAATCTGTAATTTAATAAACTATATATGAGAATAAAATAATTGGAAGTATTATTTTAAAATGCTATTGTTTAAATGTTCCTTAAAATAGATGAAAAAATATGAGTAAATAAATAATCCCAAAATAATTAGAGGGTTGTACATATATTGCTTAATATAAGCATTTTGAAATGAAATAAAAAAAGAACAGCATATCAAATAATAAGGTTTAGTTTCTCTTTCTTGTTCTAAATTAAAAATATACACAAACATACAAAGCTAATAATATATAAGTACAATCATATACTTAAAAGTATTATATACATTGAAAAATTAATCCACATTGTTTATTTTGTATTGATTTCTTCTTTAAAAGTTTCAATCATAAGAAATAAAAGATCAGTAGTGCATGTGAGTAGTAATACAAGATATCTAAAATCAATTATATTTTAGTCTCTAAACATATATAAATATTTATCTTTATAATATAATTAATGTAGCATAAATAGATAAAAGCAACTACCTCATAAAATATTCGGTAAAAACTTACTATGAAAGACTCCTTAACTAATATTAATTAAATATACAGTCAACCTCATTCTTCAAAAGGAGCAGAAACTAGAAAAAAGGAAGTAAATTCTTATTTATTTAGAATGTATAAGATTGCAATACTATGAAGAAAAAATTATTTAATATGTTGGGATAAAACTATAATTCAAATAAAGCATTCTCTATATCCCCTACTAATTCCCTTAAACAGAATTATTTTGTTTCCACATCAACACAATAAAAATCAAAATAACTTATACAAAAATAAAATCACACACTTGATTGTCATACTTCAATTGCTTAAAATCCTTAAGGAAATTTAGTAAGAAATGTATAGTCATAGTAATCATTAAACTAATTTGAAAAATACACTTCTTTTTTAGAGAATTAAAATTTTGAAAACTAGAATCCTTCAGTTAATCCATCTAAAAAAGTTGGAATTGTAAAACCTAATTCTACTCAATCTAGAAATCATAAAACTGATAGAAGTTCATTAATAGCATTATTTGAAAAATTACATTAAAAGGATAGTTCTAATATACATCGAAAGTAAACATCCCAAAATTCCAATTATATTAATAATGTTTAAAATTAATAGCTTCCAGAATGTTTTTATACAGAATTAAAATTAAGACAAAAAATTAAAGGATCATTATCTAATAATTCATCTGGTTAACTTTGTTCCCATCTTAATCCTAATTCATCATCTACTCAAATTTAATAAAATCAATAAAATACTATTGAAGATAATTTACAATAAATAATTGAAAGAATGTCATATATACTTAAAAATTATCAATCAAAATTGAAATAGGTAGACTTTGAAAAAGAAGTATTAATATAAGAAATTCAATATTGGAAATCTAAATACCAAAAATGCCAATAAAAATCATCAATTTCTTGAATTCAAGATTAGATTAAAAATTGATAATATAATCTTTTTAAAATAATAAATTACAATTAAATTCAATAATCATTTTTTTTTTAAAAAAAGATATGGTAGAACTTAATTATCTTCTATTAAGGAAATCTTCTCTTTATCACTATATTGACTATACTTACAATTCCGATTTGCTTAGAAAACTATTAGAATTAAATTTTAATTCGACATAAATTTTTCTAATGCATTCTTTGCATCAAGTATAAACAGCATATTCTTTGAGAAATATTTTTCATAAACCTTATCTGGTTTTTATATAACATAAAGGTCAATAAATTAATTTACTTATCTATAAAATTATTATTTGTAACTTTAGTCTACGTAAGGTTAATAAACTAAAACATTTTGGTTTGGGTAATATTCTTTCAAAATTTGTGCTAATACAGAACCTGGAGGGAGCTATTATTTTTGTATAGATTTTGTAAATTCTGCTAATACATCATAAATCTGATTTCCTATTTAGAATACATTTGCATGGGGATCTTGATCACTGATTTCACTTCTAGACATTCTATCAAATTAATCTTACATATTATATGAGTTCTCTAAAAAACCTGAATTTTCCATATTTCCACTTTATTATATTATCTATTTATTTCTATTATCATCTTTATTATTGTGTTTATTATCTAGAAAAGTAAGAAGACTAATTTCAATATCTTAAAAAGAATTTTGTTAATCATTTTTATTTATTGCTGATTATTCCATCATTTCTAAATTTAATATATTACTATTTCTTATATTTTATATTGTGTTTTGATTAATCCATTCAATCAAATATGAAAAAATCATAACTAAAGAATTATATATTTAATTACATTTTGATAACTATAGTTTCGTTTCAATAATCCACTTAATTTTGGTAGCATCAACAGTAAATCCTTTACTTTCTAAAAATCTTTTAAATTAATTTCTAGTTTATGTTTTTTGAATAATATTCCTATATGGTATAAATTCCTCAATATAAAAACTTATTGATATATTAATGAATTATTCATTTGATAAATCTATATTTCGAAATAATTCTTCTATTTTCTAAAAATTTTTAATATTTCCTAACATTGTTATGTAATAATCTGAATATTATTATTTTTATGAGACATATAAATCAGATATATCTATTATTTTTTCAAGGATTTTTTTACCAATTTCTGATTTAGTTTTTAATTCTAAAAATATCTTTGATCTTATCAAACACTAAATTTATTCAATACATTTATCAAATGTCTATTCCTAATTAAGAAGATTTGTATGTATAATACAAAAGGAACTTATTTCCTACTCCTCTCTAAACTCAATTTCTTTTATTTAAGTTAAATTTTATTTTAAAAACTCCTAAATTTTATATTTAAAATAGTTTGTTCTGGCTAAAACTAACTAATGATATTCAATGTTTTCATTCAAATTTGTTGCATTCAAACTAAGCATCTAAATTATTTTTCCTTTATATTATTTGAATTCTTAAGCAAACTTGAGAGAATCATTATTTCTTGTTATCAAATACAATTATCCTTATTCCATAATTTTCCAAAAAATAAATCTTTTTTTTAATTCTTTTTTCAAATAATGACTAAGTTCAAAGCAAGATAAAGAAGATTTATCCAAATTTAATTTAACATGTTAAAATTTATCAAAATATTGCTTAAATTAAGTAACAACCTAATTATTCATACATTAAAGTTAATATTTGCCTTACGATATTTTTTAGAATTATATTGTCAAATTATTCTTGACAAATTAATCTACAAATTCTTAATAAAGATTTTCTTAAATGATGTCATCTAAAAATTCAGGCTGAATAAATTATAAATAATTTTACATTCAAAGTAATAGTTTGACTTATTGGAAATTACAATATTTCAGATCTTATATTAAGAGTAATTACTTATTATTATTATTATACTTATTCATTATTAGGATTTATCTAATGTAAAAATGCTATTTCTTTCTTTAGATCCTTCTAATCTATTGCTGTTCTAAATTTCTTATGTAAAGTCTATAATGCCATTCTATTATTGTTTTATTCTCTAATATTACAAAAACAAGTTAAAATTTTTACTAAAATTATTATAATTACTTACTTGAATTAATAAAAGTATTCAAATTTTAATTCTTATTTGATTAAGTAGAAAATCTTAGCTTTTTATTTTCCTTTTACTCTAAACCAAGTTCTGTAAGCAAATTTAAAAAGGACTTAAAATCAATTTTTTATTAAGCTCCCTTTAATTTAAACAAAAAGTTTTATTTATCAAATTCAACTTCAAATTTTTTAATTGGAAATTTTAATTCCTGTGTTTATAAGAGAGATAACAATTTTTGAATATCTTCATTAATACCAAATAATATGAAATCATCATTATTTTTATAAAATAAAATTTTTAATTGTAATTAATTTATACAATTTTCAAAATTTTTTTGTACTTTTATTAATATATCCTAAGAAGTTTAAATAGAAAATTATAACAAAAATAGATTTTTTATAAAACCTCCTACATAATCTTTAATGTACTTTTCAACTAATTCTCTATTTTCTTTAATGTTTACAAAATTCATTTCAATAAAAAAAAGATTCTCATTATAATATTAATTAAAACTATATAGTTAAACATCATGAGTTAAGTATTTCTTATAAAAAAGATATCTTGATTTTTCTAAAATTGGATTATTAGATATAGTATTTGAATATGGTTTTGCACTTGTAAAATTAAACATATAACCTCTATAATTTTGATATATTTATGATTATATTTCTTCAAGGAATTACAATGACTACTGTCTTGAAACTAGATAAAAGTCATCACCTACTTATGCTACTTAAATTTAATGAGACTATAAAAATTTATTCATCATAGATTATTATTCTTTCATTGTATAACAAGAATAAAAGCAAAATTGAACTTCGACTAATTAAATACTATCAATAAAATTCTAAATTTCTTGATTTATATAATAATAATCAGTAGGTTATTATAATTTATAACAATTCATTGATTGTTTATTAAGATTTAATTATTTTATCAGTAGATTCCATTTTTCCAAATATATTTATTCTATTATCTATAAAATTTAATTATTTTTTAATTAAATTATAAAGTTTTAATCATTATACTTTAATTTTATTTTGTCATCAAAAATATTTATGCTTTAATCCAATATTTGACTCATTATTTCACTCTCAATTTTAAATTCATGAATTGAGTTATTTTGAGAACCTTCTACTTCAGAAACTATAATTGATTCTTATTCCTAATTATGGTTGTCAATTTCTTGTTATGGTACTTATAGATCTTTTAAATTTGATAAATTAATATTACCTTATTATTAAATTTTTTATTGAATTTATTTATCTTAAGAGTAATCATCTCCTTAATTAGTTGGTGTTTCATAAAATTTTTAAAGGGATTATTCAACTTTAGGATTTGTTATGCTAAAATCTGAATTCATTTCAGTTGATGAATTCTTTTGTAGAAGTTCATCTTTTTCTTTATTAAAAGATGCCGTTTAATTATTAGAGCTTTATTTAGGCTTTATCTTCATTTCAAAATCAGGAAACATATTTTTTAAGGCATCAAATGTAGATCTAAATTTTAAAAACCTTGAGAATTAATTATCATCTTTAAAAGTATATCGTTATCCATTAATTTAAATATCTAAGCTGAGAAATGACATAAGTTATTTCAAAGAGTTCTAATTCTCAACTTCAAAAATTCTTGAATCTATTTGCATACTCATATTAATTTTATTAGAAATATATTTAATTAATATCATTTATCAAAACAATTATGACCACATCCTAAAGGACATGAAGTATTATTTTTAAACCAATCTTTCATTTCTTTCATGTGACCTCCATGCATACAATTTTAGCACCATAAATAAAGACCTCTTACTGGTTTAAAACTATATTATTTAATATTTAATATTACCATATTGCACATATAAAATCTGTTTTACATATATTACAAAATGCTCCTGTAATTTAACTATTTTTACATGGGCCAAGACATTTATAATTTGTAACATATTTATTACTAGTTCTAAATTATTCAACTGGACTTTCTAAAGCAGCTTTCATTGCTAATGTATGTTTTCCAAATGCAACTAATAATTCAATATAAGATTGAGTCCATTTTTTAGCATTTAAATCAGGAAATTATACATAATTTTTTGCACATGCAGACATCCAAAATCCACTAGGAAGTTCACCTTAATCAATAACATGTTAAATTAATTAAAGAATAGAATTAGAAATAACTTACCTATATATTATTTAATAATTACATCATATGCTATTTATCAGTCAATAAATAACCAATAGGAGTCATTGTTCTTAATAAATTTTTATAGTAAGGTATTCTTTCCATATGAATTTTTAAATGATTTTAATCTTCAATTATGATATTTTTGCTATCTAATTCTTATCTAAATGCTGCTGGATATTTTTCAAAATATTTATAAAGTTTTTATAGATCTTATGAATCTAATTACTTTTTTTCATGTTATCTATTATTTTTTGTAACTTATGTCATTTATTCTAAAGGAGACTTTTAATCATCATCTGATTAATCATTACCTTTGTTTGGTAATTATACAGGACAATTTTACATAAAAATATTTGGACTACAATCTTTAGATAACTTTTTAAAATCATTAATAAGATGTTCTAAAGCTTTCCAATAATGTGCTATTTCTGGTTTATCTATTTGTAATGCAACATTACTATTATATGAAAAATCTTTTTTTGAATTATAATTCTTTTAAAAATATTTTAATTCCTCATCAAAAGGAATTTTAGGATCAAATTTTTAATCAATAGCTTCAATATAGAAAATTGATCTAACATTATTTTTTTGAATTTATGAATTTTATGGAGATACTGATGTTGCTTTTAATATATCTTACCATGAATTTTAATTAAAATTATTTTGAGATTAATTTTAAGTTTTAGCCTTGTAAATTCCATCATTTGAGGATTATTTTTGAATTGGCTACAAATTCATTTCATAGTGATTAATCTTTTCTAATTCATATTAACTTGGAAATGGAGATTCTAATTTCATAAGCAAATCATTATATTGATTAAAGGAAACAGGAAATATTGGACAATTATTATATACTTAATATGCCTATCTAACAGATTACATTCTTAAATATTTATCTTTAGATCCAGTAAAGACATACTATTCATCTTAATTAAAAACAAATGATGTAATTATATCATTATGACCTTTAACAATATGCATAGGTCGAAATGGAGTTCTAATATCATATGTAGTAACTGAGATATCTCTATTTAATGATGATACACTTAATAAAGAATTGTTCTAAACATGCCATTTAATATGAGAAGATCCATCTATATGTTAAATTATTCCTTTTTCCCTAATATCAGTGTGATTCTCTACTTATAATATTTTAATTTCTTTATCATTTGATCCACTAGCTAATACATTATCTTTAGTCCAATCTAAACATATTATTAAATTTGTAAATGGATCCTATTTCCTACCCCTTAAATTAATCTCAGTAACATTCTCTAGTTATTTTCTAATATCAAAATATTCTAACTAACCTGTATCTGAAGCAGCCATAAAATAATTATCTCTTGTTATGTTAAATTTAATATCTCTAATAGCTTCATTTCTTTATAATGTAAAAATTGGTTATGCAGTAGATTAACGATAATCATAATAATTAATTGCATAATCTTATCCACCACTAATAAAACAGTTTTCATTATGCCAATTCATTCTATGGATAGCAGCTTAATGATTTCTATAAACTGTTTCTTTTTGTTTATCAATATCCCAAACCTAAAATTACCCTTATACAGATGCAGCCAATAATAGAGTTGGTTTTTTACGATTAAATTCAACATATCCTATAGCTAATTTAGTGCCTTGTCTCCTCATATTCTATTTGATATTCATTTTTTTATTCATTTAATCCAAATCTATTATTTTTAAGATTTCCCTCCCTCCAACTACTAAATTCCTTCCTTATTAATCAATATCAATTGAGGATATGCTTGTTTGTAAATCTAATTCTTAATCCATATTTATTTATATAAATATTTTATTATGCAATTATAAGCCAAAATAACAAAAAGAACAGATTGCTATGTTAGTCTACCCAGAATGTTCTAGTAATTTAAAACTCTTTCATTTTCTCAAGGAAATCTATGTTAGGTGATAAAAGCGTAATGATTTCATAATTATAAGAGAGAATTAATGAAGACCTAATAAATTGTATATTTTGGTTGTTAAGGTATCTCTGATGATAATCATATTGAAATTGGATTTTAATTTGCTTAGTTGTTAAATATTGATGATGATGATTATATACAAATAAATACAGGTAATTATATTTTTAGAATAAATTTAAGTCTCAAATTGCAATCAATATAATGCTATTACAATATATGTTTAAAAATGGTCAGATTATATGATAGTTTAACATTAAAAGGATTAATTTGAAAAAGATCTCCTTAATAATATTTAAATTGTTTATAATGAATTAAATTTTCCCATATTTTATTAGGAAGGACAATTTGTTACTTTTACTTTCAAAGATTAAGATAACAATGGCCCCATTGCTATTAGTCCTACTTGTGAAATTAATATTTTAATTGAAGAATCATAAAAACCAGAATAGAAATTGGATTTAATTGAATTAATTGTGTTATTTTCAGATTAAGATTATTTTGAATCATTTATAGAAATAAATTAAGAACTATATAACAAAAATAAATTGGAAAAATTATATTAAATAACATATTCATCTTCATTTCCAAAATCATATAGAAATTTTCAAAAATATGCAAAGAATTTGAAAAAAAACAAATAAAAATAAAATATTCCTAAAACTGCTATTGTTTAATTCAAATATAATACATAAATTAATACAAAATTTTGTTTTATTTCCAAATTTTATGCTAAACAACTTGGAATAAGAGAAGGATAAGTAATTTTAATTAATACACAAGAATATGACATTACTAAGGAATCAACAATTAGAACAATTAAAAGAAATTAACTTATTTTTCAAAAAATATATTTTAATTTCTATACAGATTTACCTTTAAATAAGGAGTTTGTCAAATAATTGATATTAGAAAAAATTGAAAAAAATGAATAGACTGTTCTATAAAGTAATGAATGATTAAAATATTAGGCAGAGTTCATTTGAATAAAGAGAATCTTTATTTTTTGAGAATTGTCTAATTAATTGGTAATCAACCAGAACATTTCTTATAAATGTTATCTATTATAAATGAACATAATGAACTTAAAGTAATAGGAGAAAAAGAGAAAGGATTACTTATATAATACTTAGATGAACATGTAAGAATTCTAGGATTTACAAGTCCAATTTAAAAAGAAATTAAATTTAGTTAATACTAAGGGATCAAAAAGAAAGAAGATAAATAATAAGATTACAAATTATTTTAATAATTATTTGATGGATCAATTAAATAAATAGAATCTATTTTAGATTAATAATCTTATTCTTAATGTTTGGTTATTTGTAAAGAAAGTTAAGCTATTTAAGTATTAGTTTCCTATTTAAAAACAAAATTTGAAGTAATTAAATTAAATTTAGACAAATTGAATCAACAAGGATAAAATGAAAAATTATAAAATGGTATTATTTTGATATTTAAAATAGTTAAAAAGTTTATCAAACATATTTTCTGGTAATCCAGATAAGTGTCTTTAAATGATATACTTATAGTAATAAAAGGAGTTGAATCTATTAAGAGTCTTGATTTAATTGATTTTTAATAATCATTCTAAATACTAATTTCTAATGTATATTATTATTATTATTCATTTAGATTTTAAGTAAACTTATAAGAAATTAAATTATGGAATATCCATTAGTTAAATTAATAGTAGTATCACCATCTAAAGATTATTTAAATGTAAATCTTTAAAGTATTTTTATATCTTTAAATTAGAAAAATTTTAAAAGGATTCAATTATTGAATTTAATAAACCAAAATTAGAACATAGATAAAGAATCTTTGAATAATGTTATTAATCTTAAGAGATTAAAAAATCAGCTGAATTGTTAGCATAAAGATCTGAAAACTTCAATTTTTCTTAATTTCATGCTTTATAAAATAGAGAAAAATACTAAGAAGAATTGAATCAATAAATATCAGAGGAATGGATTTTATAATAAATTAATGATTTACAAGATTAATAAGTGTAATTAAATAAGAAAATACCAACTTTTAAAGAAATAGGGGGTCTGAAAGAATAAAAGTAAATAATATTAGATCTATTTGATTTACCTATGAAATATGAACATTTATTTGCAAAATCTAAAATTAAACTTCCAAAAAGTGTTTTAATTTATGGAATGCCAGGTTGTGGCAAAACTTATTTTAGTTTGAGTATTTGTAATGAATTAAAAATAAATGTATTAACAGTAAAGGGTCCTGAATTATTAGATAAGTATATAGGTATATAAATTAATAATAATATTAAGGATCTTCTGAATAAAACGTTAGAGATCTCTTTTAAAAAGCTTAATCTTTATCTCCTTGCATTATATTTTTAGATGAAATAGATTCTGTTGTTCCTGTTAGAACATCCTCACATTCAGGAGTTACAGATAGAGTTGTCAATTAATTTTTATGCTATTTAGATGGAGTAGAGGAAGGAATGAAAGGAGTATACATAGTAGCTGCTTCAAGTAGACCTGATTTAATTGATCCAGCCATTTTAAGACCAGGAAGAATTGATAAGCATGTTAGAATAGATTTACCTAATAAAGATGAAATTCTTTAAATTTTGGAGATTTATTAAGGTCCTTTAGAATTTGATGGAATTTCAGAATAAGAAATAGCTGATTAATTGTTTGGGTTATCTTAAGCAGATGTTGTCTCATTTTTTAAAGAAGCCAGAATATATTTAACTGATAGAATAGTTTAATTAGAAGATTTTAGTTTAAAAAGAAAGGTGTAAAAAATAGAAGATTTTAAATTAACAAAGGAATTATTTAAAGATATTATGAAGAGTATGAAACCAAGTTTGAGTTAAAAATAGATATTATTCTATAAAGATGTTTATAATAGATTCGAAATGGGAGGTATAAAAGATATGAGTAATCAAAAATAAGCATTATAGTGATGATATTGTTAAATTATTTATAAAATTTGTATCATTATATTACTTTCGATTGATTTATTCTTTTAGCTACTTCAACATAATATAAATTATTTGAAGTTAATAATTAAACAAATATACTAAAAGCTGATTAGTATATTTTAAATTCATATTCATAATCAAGTTTCTATATTAAAATTCCAAATTATTTTTATGATCCTGATTTTGTTGAATCAAAATATAGAGTATTCATATAAGAATTAATATTCTCTTTACTTCCAAAAGTATCATATTGTTGACCTCTTTAAACAGTGTCTTAAATTAATCTTGGATTTAAATTAAATTTATTCATTAAGTTTAAAAATATTTAATATGCTTAAGATGATAGATATTTAAATTAACTATTTTACATTCCCTTTAATAATAAAGCATAATCATAAGAATTAGATTAAGTAAAATATTTGTTCATAATACTTGCTACTCTTCCATCTAATAAATCAAAAGAAGCAGTTTCTAACCACATTTATGATTATTAAGTTTTTTATAATAATTCAGTATGAATGGCATTTTAAAGTTGAATAAATTACAATTATGATTATTTTTCAATTCTTTATATATAATCTTCATAATCTTATTTATAGATATTCGCAAATGCTAAATAAGATGAAACATGCCAAACTTAACTTGTTTATTCAACATTTAAGTTTTTTAATGTTGTATCAATTTAATCTTTGTCTAATAAAGTTTATAGATATTCTGCAATACAATTAGAATTATACTATATAAGTCCTTCTGCTATTTATTACAAAGTGATTTATTGTTTATTATTTAAACTATTTAAGAATTTGGCATGATTATAATCAAATTATTTGATATAAAATAAATTTAAGTTGTCTAATTAAATTTCCATAAGAGGGTTAATTAAATTTATTGAAACCTATCTTGAATATTCAACAAGAATTGAAATTTTATTAAAAGATTGTATTTAAACTTAAATCTTTGGTTAAGTAGATACTAACAATTAGCCATCTAAATACATTGTGATCCAAAATTTTGTTGGATTCTCCTCAAAAAATTAGATTAATGATTTTTATGAATATGGATTGATATGAAAGTGATTGAGTTTTTAATTTGAATTGTAAATCCAATTCATTATTCCAACTCCTAATGATTTTTTAAAAGAAATCAAATAGAAATTCTAAATAGAATCAATTGTTGCATTTGTTGAATATACTATTTCTCCATGATTTTAATAGATATTGGTTAAAGTTTGGTTGAATATTTCAAAGGTTGTATCCTATGTTGCTATTGAAGAAAATTAGTCATAGATTGCCTTAAAATTTCCTTTGTTAGCAAATTTTATTACCTGTGTTATATAGGAATGTTAAATCTTCAAATTAGGATGAATGCTTTGAATATACTAGTAATAGCATTGTTAGAATTATATATGAATGATGAGTCATTATAAAATTTAATTATAATATTTATGATAATAGTTTTTTATTTGTTATATATTCTGTTGAATTGCTAGTGTGCTTTTGAAATAATCAATCATTAGGAAATATTTGAATATATATTACGTATGAATGAACTTAGAAGCAAAAGATACACAAGTCAAATACAATTATTGTATGATGAATAAATATATGAATTATATGAAGAGAATTTAGAAAATTAAATTAAAAGAAATAAAGAAGTGATGGAGAAGTCATTTTTCATGATTGAAAAGTATTATTTGCCTAAAAAGACTTGTTTGGAAGGAATTTTGGATTCAATTCTAATAATGGAACCTTTATTTCATCATATTTAATATGATAAAGAGACTTTGAACACATATTTTTATTCAGTAGATTAACTAAATTTTAGATCAAGTTGCTATTAAGTTTTATAGACTATAACAGATTAAGATGTTGAATTAAAGAGCAAAGATGAAATAGAAAAGATGGAGTTATTTTAGGAATTTTATGATAAGTTTTATTAAAATGATTTTACTTAGAGTAAAATGTATTTAGAATCAAGAGCAATGGATTTTAGAAAAAAATTAGAAGAGTTTACAGAATTATTTAGTGATGATTACCAAAAGATTTTAGATGTCACTAAATAATTAATGTTAAAGGCTAAATAATCATTAAATAATTTAAGATTATTAATTTAACCTGAAACAGATTAAGCTATATGTATTTATTATATATTAATATAGATTCTTACAATATTTAAAAATAGAGATATGATTTATTAAGAGAAAAGGAAGTGTTCTTGAAATAATAGATATTATATAATGATGAAGCATTCTAAATAGAATAGACATAACATATATAATTGAGAGATAGTGTAGATAAATTGATAGCTGAATAAGAGGTTGGGTAAATATTGATTAAAAGAATAAATTAGAGATGTTATATAAAGAATTGAGTGATGAAAATAGATAGAATGTTTTGAATATGATGAAAGTACAAAATTGGGATATAATGAAAAATTAAGAAGAAGAAGAATTTAGAAAACAATCTCAAAAATTCAATCCTGGAAAAAGACATGATTATGATTTATGATATATTAAATAAAATAATAAATAAATTGAAATTTATTATGTGATCTATTATATTAAGATCATTAGAGATTTATTTTTAATAATTGAAAAAATTAAATCAATATTTTTAAGTTTAATAAATAATAAATAGTTATAATCATGGGCTGTTGTTAGGGACATTAAAATGGTTAGAAAATACAATATTTTAGATATGAATTAATTAACAGAATTAGCTAAGGAGTTGACTGAATATCAGTAACCAGAATATTTTGCTGATATTTTAGATTTGAAAACATAAAATAAATTAAAGGATAAAATGAATGACTAAGAAAAGGATTTAGAACAGACACCAAAAAAAGAGACTAACTATTCTTAAGATATGAAAAGTGGAAAAAAAGAAAATAATTAAGATTCTAAATCATAAAATAAGTTATAAGTATAAGAGAAATAATGGACAATTAAATAAAATATGTTTGTTAGAATTAATTCAAAAAAAAATGTAAATGAATTTTACACTGTAAAAGAAATGATTGGATAAGGAGGGTTTGGAAAAGTATATAAAGTAGTTCATAGATAAACTGGTTTTATTAATTCTTATATTTAGGTATGGTGAGAGCTATGAAATTGATCTTAAAATCTAAATTGAAAAAAGAAGATTAAGAAAAATTATTAGAAGAAACTAATATTTTAATGGATATTGATCATCCAAATATTGTCAAATTATATGAAATGTATTAAGATGATAATTCTTATTATTTAATCAGTGAATATTGTGATGGTAAAACTATTAAAAATCTTCTATGAAGGTGGTGAATTATTCGAAAAAATTAAATTTGTTCAAACCTTAACTGAAAAAGAAATAGCTAACTATATGAAATAAATCTTAACAGCTGTGGCATATTGTCATTCAAAAGGCATTGTACACAGAGATTTGAAACCTGAGAATATATTGTTTGATTCTAAAAATCAAGGTGCTTCTTTAAAAATAATTGATTTTGGAGCAAGTGCTAAATTAATTAATGATGAAAAATTAAAAAAAAGAATTGGAACAGTATAATATATAAATTATTTAAGCCATTTTATGTTGCTCCAGAAGTTTTGAATGGTAGTTATGATGAAAAATGTGATATTTGGTCTTTAGGAGTTATACTGTATGTTTTGCTTTGTGGATATCCTCCTTTCTTTGGACATAGTGAAGGAGAAGTATTAGCCAAAGTTAGAAAAGGAACCTATTAATTTGATAGTAATGATTGGTCTAGAGTATCTATGCAAGCTAAAGATTTGATAAGAAGAATGTTGTTTTATGATCCCTCATCTCGTATTAGTGCATCAGATGCTCAATAACATAGTTGGATAGCCAACAATAAAGCTAAGGGATTAGTCAATAATATTAGTTTAAAAAGATTATAAGATTTTGATTCCAAGAATAAACTAAAATATGCAATTTTATAATTCATAACAGTTTAAGTTATTTAAAGTTAAGAAAAAGATGATTTATTAAAGACTTTCTAAGATATTGATAAAAATGGAGATGGAACTGTAAGCAAAGAAGAATTATTAGCTGGTACATAATCATATAATCTTAGCCTATATGAAAATATATAAAGGAGATTCTATTTCAGCTTAATAAGTTGTAGAAGAATTATTTCCATAACTAGATGCTAATAAATCTGGAAAAGTAGATTTTAGTGAATTTGTTACTGCTTCAATGAATAGAGATAAATCTTTAAGTAAAAAAAAAATAGAACAGGCTTTTAAATTGTTTGATTTGGATGGAAATGGTTTTATTACTAAATAAGAAATTAATGAATTATTTGGAAATGAAATTGATGAAAATATGTGGTAAGACATTTTGAAAGATTGTGATATAAATAAAGATGGAATGGTATTAATATAAATATACTATAATTTAGATATCAATGAATGAATTTGTTAATCTTTTAGAAACAAAAATTAAAAGAACACCATAATTGTAATGAATTACTAATTTTGTTAACCATGTATATTTTGCATGGCTAATTAATATATATATACTTAAATAATACATATAAATAAAATTATATTACTATTGATTTCAATCTTATAATTATATATAAAAAAAAAAATATATAAAAAAGTTGCGTCTATCGGGACTCGAACCCGACCTAAATGCTTGGAAGGCATTCGTACGAACCTCTATACTATAGACGCTGACTGATATTATAAAATGATTTATAGTATATCAACAACTCTACAATATAATATGATTATGATTTGAATAGTGTCCATTTAAAAGTATTCATATAAATTTGACTTAAAATATAATAAATAATAAGAAATTATAAGGAAGTTATTAAGAAATATAACATTACTCATTTTTTATTATTTCTGAAACTATTTTATTATTTTTAGTTAGATAATTTTCTTACTTATGGATTTTCCTTAATAGGTTACTATTAGAGAATTTATACTTTGCTAATTTTAAAAAGAAAGTTATTTACTCATTTATTTTCACTTATTGATTTACTCTTTTGATTGCTGATTCTAAATAATCATTTGAAGTAGACATAGCTAATTTTTTAATTATTCTTTGATTCTATTCAATTATTTTTCTTTTTTCATCTAATTTTTAAAATTTTTTATCATAACCTATTTTCATCTATTAATTTATAAATAGATTATTTACTTAAGTCATAACATCCTTTTCTTTTTAGAGTTACTCTATTTTATTGGCTTAATGTGATTATTTATTTTTGAGATCAAAATGTAGCTTCTTAAGAATGAGTAATTCTGTTTCTTAAACTACTAATTTTGCTTGTAATTCTGCAATGATTTATAGTTATTCATTTTCAAGTTCAGTTTAAGGAGGAGAATTTTATTTTAATTTCTCATATATTTCATCATAAGTGGCTTTTATAGATGGTTTTTCTTTGAAATATTCTTCATACAATTATTCTTCATCAGATGAACTTCCATTAGCTGAAATATCTAGATTTTCATTTAAATTAATAGGCTCTTCTTCATTGATTTATAATGGTATTTCTTCTGGTTTATCTTAATTCTCTTGTATTTGTTATTAAATAAAATCTAAAAAGTTCATAATTTTATATAAAATTTTCATTCAATCAATTGTATTATTTATAGAATATATAAGTTATATTTATTATGATTCCTATTACAATTAATAGTTAATAAATCTTTTTGATTCACACTTTATTTTGTTTTATTACTCAAATTAAACACATTTTAATCATTTGAATGGATTATAAATAATTGATATTAATAAAAATAAGAATCTGAATTTGTAAATATGGATAAAAGATTTTTCTCCAATTAGACTTTTCATTTCTTGACTATCTACTTTATCAATTTTGATCATGGCATTCTTCCAGCTAGCATAAAAAGAATTCAATCAGATTTAGGAATTAATGAAATATAAGTAACATATTTAAGTTATTATAATTAAAATAGCTCGGTTTATTGAGTTCATCTGTTTATGCTGGAATAATTATAGGATCAATGATAGGAACAGGAATGTATGATAAATATAAGACAAAATCGATTCTTATAATTTGCTCTTTATTTTACATACTGAGTTTAACAGTATTTCTCATTACAAAGAATATTATGTTATTACATTTTTCCAGATTCTTTACAGGATTGTTTTAAGTATGCTTCATTAATTTAATTGGTATTTTTAGTTATTTATTTTCCTATTTGGATTGATCGTTATGGAGGAAAATAAAAAGATTAATAGTTGATATACATTTAAATAGGAGTACCCTTAGGAACAATATCAGGATTCTTAATAAGTTCGTTATCTCTTTAGATTTTATAAGATGTAAATTATTTATATAAAAGTTTAAGTGGAAATATGCAATCTATTTCTAAATTGTTGCTTTAACTCTCTGTTTATTGTATTATGGATTTTCTGATAATAATATATTTTCAATACAAATTCAAGAAGAAAGAGATTAAAGTCAAAGTTTTTCAACAGTTTTACTTTAAAATTGTAAAACATTTTTTTCAAATCCACTTTTTGTTTTATCAATGTTAGCATTAAGTTAATTATTTTTTGTATTAACAGGAGTTTAATTCTGGATAACTGATTATCTCAATAGTGTTATGTTAATGGAATATAACCTTGCTTCTTAATCATTTATAATAATCTCAATAACTGCTCCATTAACTGGAGTATATTTAGGTAGTTAAATCTTAGATAATCATGCTGGAAATAAAGGATTTAGAATTATGAAAATAGCTGCAATCGAATTATTTTTAACAAGTATTTCCTTAGCTTTAATTCCACTATTTGATAATTAAGGAATGATAGTATTATTAGTTTGGTGTTTAATATTTTTTGGAAGTAGTGCTATTCCATCATTAATGGGAATAATGATTACATCATTGCAAAGAGAAGAAAAAATATGTGGAAATTAATTAAGCCATTTATTTTTTGATTTTTTTGGTTATCTTCCAGCATCAACTGTTTATGGATATGTCTAATAAATTTCTGGAGGTTCAACATCTAGAAAAGGAATGGTTATGCTTTCCTGTATTTGTTTCTTAGGTTTAATCTTTTTATTACTAGGAATATACAAGAAATATAATTAGCTAAGATTGATATATATAGATTTAAATGAATCAGAGTTCAAAAATAAATTACGTTCACTTTCTCATCATTCTGGTGATAATATGGATGATTATGAAAAGAAAGATTTCTCATATATAAGAATGTAAACAGCTAGTAAAAAATTTAAATAAATTATATTTCCACATTATAATGATTAAATTGAGGGGGATCAATTATCAGAAAATGAATCACCTTTGATAATTGGTATGGAAACACAAAGGATAAGAAATGCATATAGAAGTTAATGTTCTTATTTACATATTTGTTATAATGTTTCAAGTATTATAGGAAGAAGGAGTTTAGAAAATGATTTGTTTATGATTAAAGATGATTAACTTCAAATTAGATTAAAAAGTTAAAACTCTTTTTAATTATAAGTTATTGGAGCTAATCATCTTATTTGTGAAGAGAGAGTTGTACATTAATAATAGTATTGATTTATTATTTATTAATTTATAAAATATAAAAAATATAAATGAGTTTAGAAGTTAAGAATGCACATAGATAAGCATTTAAAGAAATCTTTTCAATGAAGGCTGTGGAAGGAAAATTAGATAAAAAGGGTTTGGCTGATCTTTTCATTATGATTGATTATAAAGTAATATCATTATTATTATTATTTAGATTCCATAAGACTAATTTGATGAAATGGTTTAAAGAATATTTGGAAAAAAAGAATAGATTGGATTTGAAGAATTTTTAAAAATATTTAATTTAAAATTGACAGATTACACTTTTAATGATGTGAGAAATGCATTTAAATTATTAGCAAAAGATGATGATAGGTAATAATAAAATATTATTTAGGTATATCCCATTAGAGAAGATTAAAAAAGTATTACTCAAAAATAATGTTCCTGCTGAAGAAGTTGAATTTTTGTGTCATTAATTGGATCCCTTTACTGATACAATGAAGAGAGTAAATTATGCAGAATTCTTAAAGAGTTTGAGCAATGTTTGATCAATATCCATTAAAAATATTACTTTTTATTAAATTATTTAAATAAATTTTAATAATGAACTTTTCCCCACAATTAGGATTTCTGGCCTAAAAATTTTAAGAAAAACAATAGAATAATAGGATTACAAAAACTGATTTAGAATAAATATTAGAAACTGCAAATTATAGTTAATATGATATTTAGTCTTTAACCTAATAAATTAATGAAGACGAAATAAGTAAAAGTAAATTTTTATATAGCCTATAATTAGTTTTTGTCGATTGTGGGTGTTTCTGAAAACAATCATAATATATAAACCTATTAATAGAATAATGGAGATGAAATGGTTTCTGAATAAAAGTTAACATCTGAATAATTACAAAATATTTATGATGATTACAAAATAGCTTTAAAAAACTAAGATTTCGAAAAAACAAAGTTTATTTTAAGTATCTAAATATATATATCTAAGATTAATATAAAGATATTGATTTAGTTAATAAAATTGATCCATCTTAAAGATAAATCTCAACATACATAGCTGTTTAAGGTCCTGATGATAATATAGCATTATAAACATTAGAATTATTGTTTGATTTTGGCGCCAACTTAAATTATAAAGATTAATTAGGCCAATCAATTTTATTTTATATTTGCAGGGATGGAAGAATAAAACTTCTTGATTTTGTATTATCAACTAATACTGTAAATGTAAATGATTAAGATCGATATGGATAAACACCTCTTTTTTATGCTGCAAGAGATAATAGATATGATATTGTAATTAGGTACTATTATTATATAATTTAGATTAATATAATATGGAATCGATATTAATATTGTTGATAAACTTTCAAATTAAACAGCTTTATTCTATGCAGCCAATGGAGGACATGTTGAAATATGCAAAGTATTAATAGAAGTAATATAATAATAAATAATTAAAGAATGGATGTAATCCTAATCATGTTGATTCATCAAAAAAGAATGCATTATTTTTTGCTAGAAAATATAATAGAAAAGAAGTCATAGAACTATTTAATAACTATTTTAATAAAAATAAAGATGATATGTCTAAAAATAGTGGAGGAAATGATAATAGTAAAGGTGAAGCACCAAGATCATAATAATAATAAAAAAGGAAATTTAGAGATCTTCCTAAATAGTCATACAAATTGATATTTACAGATAATTAAGGAAACTAAAGAGAATTAAATTCTGTTGAATTTTAAAAGTTTTAATAAGAATATCCAGAAGTTGCTAATCTAATTGTAAATGCAGATGAATTGATAGATGATACAATTATTAATTAAATTAAAGATGATGATACATGGGAGAAGATAGCAAAAAAAGTATTAGGTATTTTTTAATAATTATATAATATAGGAATTATTTGGAAATCAAAAGGAGCACATTTATTTCATTAACCTGTTGATTAAAAAAAGTATGGAATAAGTGATTATTATGAAATAGTGACAAAGCCTATGGATTTTGGAACTATTAAAGTATATATTCATAAAAGATTAGAATAAATTACATTCAAATGTTTATAGTTCTTGTTAGGAATTTTATGATGATGTTATGTAAGTATTTGAAAATTGTATTTTATACAATGGAGAAACTAGTGAAGTAGGTTAAATTGGATTGAATATAAAATAAGAGTTTGAAAATCAATTAGAATTGACATTATTAAAAAAATATTTATGATAACATAATAATATTATTATTAAAATCTTAAATAAGAATTATTGAATAATTATGAGATTTAGAAAATCAAAGTTTTAATTAAATTATTTTAGTTTAATAAATAGAAATAATAAAATAAAGAAATATTTATATTTTTTGAATGTTTAGAATTAATTTTGTAAAATATATAAATTTCAAGAATTGTCTTCAGTTTCTTCTTCTATTTCATAATCAGGTGGTAAAATAATTCTGACTAAATCATCCAGTTAAAGTCTCCCATCTTTATCATTATCATGTTATTAAAATAGATTTTCAACTTCTTTTTCTGTAAATCCATAAGTAAATGTTTTCTTCATATCATCAATAGATATAACTAATAAATTAAATAATTTAATTACATCCTTTACCATCCTAATCTATTAAATTAAATAATTATTTAACTCTAATCATACTTTATTTTGGAAGTATTCTTTTTCTTTTAGTTGGTTATTTCTCTACTCTTAGAAATTCCATTTCCAAACTTTCTTTTGAACTTTTAGCAAAAACTTCATTGTATTATTGTATCCATTAATTAATCATTTTCAATTATTCTTATGTTAATGAAGGATACAATTTTAACATTAATTCATCAAAAGTAACAAATCCTCTTTATTTAGAATCTAAATAATTATATAAACTTGCAGTAACTCTTTTCATATGTGGTTTATTTTGAAATGATTTAGTAAATTCTTTAACTTAAATAACTGAATTTTTATCTGATAGACTATCAAAATAACTCTTTAATTTAAATATCTCATTTCTAGTTAAAGTACATCCTTTTGTAATTATTATATTTTTCATAATTTTATTTGGAACAATGACTCTTCTAGAAGTACCATCACGTTAGGTGACAAATCTAATAGTAGGAGAATCATATCTTTAAATTTTTCTAGAATGATCACCAATAGCTTTTTCTAAAATTTATAATTCATCAATATCATCATCTAGAATATGAGGTTTTGTTTAAGTAGGAATTTTAGGTAATGAACTATGAGAAGCTGACTATTTAGATCTAATTTAAAGTTATCTAACACTTTTAGTTGTAGCTTTATAACTGTCTTAATTTTTTTAGTTCAATCTATCATTAAGCCCTTTCATGTAGTATTCATACTTATTTGCTTTTGTTATCATATCTAACATTTGTTAAGCTTCTTATTCAGTATATGGTTTAAATGATTTAAAAACTTCAAAAGGTTCTTAAACTTTCTATTTTGGTTCATATAATGTAAATAAATCTTTCCCAATATCATTTTCTTTTTCTAACCATTCAATGATTCTAAACATAAATCTAAATTTTACTCGCTTAACTCTAATTAATTATCAGTTTAAATATCACTCTTCAAAAACATCAATTTTGCAAACTTTTCTAATTAAACATAAGGAGGTAATTCAGCATTTGTTAATTTACAATATCCTATTATTATTGATTTAATAATTATAAGGAGTTCATTTAAACTTATATTTCCATTACAATCTAAATCAAAAACAATATATAAAACTAATTATATCATAAATATTTACAATGAATTTTATGAATATGTTAAGTATATGAACAAATTGTTAAAACACAAATAAGTTCATAAATTGATAAAAGTTTAGATTTTCTACAAAAGTTATCAAATATATATCCTGCATTAGGACGTGAAAATGGAACTATTTTACAGAATAAACTTTTATCGATGAATGGAAGTGTAGCTCTACGTTAAAACTATTCATATACAGCTCTAATTTCAGATAATGACCCTATATGTAATAATAAAAACAAATACAATATAGCAATTATTTTAATGCTGGATCCACCTCTCTAGAAATGTCAAATTTAAGTTCCATTTTTCTTAAATGCATAGGAAGACTACTCAAATTACCATTCTCATCTTAAGTTGAATGTGATGAAACACTACCCATTAATCAATTATAATTAACAAAAATACATAAAATGATTATGAATTCAACTAGATAATTTCTAATAAACTTATAACTATTATAAATTATTTTTATTGCTGGATTTAATAAATATTTATTTTTTTATGTTTTCTAATTATAAAGTAAAGAGATTAATAATAAGATCAAAAATCAAAGAATATTTAATCTTAATTTGCTATTGACATATCATTTTCATCATCTTCAATTTATACTTCTTTCCAATATTGATTTGAATTAATTTCTGTATGATTGTATTCATAATCAAATTATTCTCTTTCATATAAAATAGGTGATCCTTCACATTCAATTTGAGTTTCAATTATAAATCTATCAGTATTTAAATTAGAATCCTCTTAATTTTCATCATTAGCTTCAATTATCAAATTATTCCAACTATCATTTGAAGGATTTCTCTCTTCTATTTCTTCAATAACAGGTGCAGCTACATTTAAATTTTCTTCTTTTTATTTTAAAAGTGATCTCAAATAACCCATTTTCTTTTATAAACATTAATTTATATCAGTTATTTATGAAGCTTTTCTAATAATACTATAATAATCTTCTAATGTTTTTTTTGAACATCCTATAAGATTTGCAGCTTCTTTTAATGTAGGTTTAATAAAATTTCCTGCATAATCAGTATAACCATTTTTAAAGAGATCTCTCCATTATTAAACTAGATTACAAGCTTCATATATAAATCTTTCTTTTGATCTTCTTTATTTTTCTATTTTTTAATTTTTAAACATGTAATTATTTTTATTATTGATTTTTGTAATTAAATAATAATTATTTCAATATTATTTGTTTAATTAGTATTAAACAGAATTGGAACGTATTGATAAAATAATTAATATTTTAGAAATAGTTATTCTAATACTCAAATTTCTAATTAACTATTCTTCTATGAATCCTATTTTATAACCTCCTAGATATCTAAAATAAATTGCTCCTTCCCAATTTAGAAGTTTAAATTAATTAAATATTCGTCATGAAGAAATTGAAGAAAAAGGATTTATGACAAAATATGTTTAAATCTTAAAAAAGAATGCCAATGGATAAGTTATAACAACAGCAAAAATTGTTAATATTTTGAAATTGCATTAGTTATTGAGAAATTAAGACTAACTTGAAACCCTGAAAAAATATTTTGAAGATCACTTTCCATATATTGGGTAAAATAAAATCAAATAAAATATAGAAAATTTAAGGATAAACTTGATGGTAATAAATGTTTGGACATTTTTAGATTTATGACGGTTGAAAAATATAAAGCACTTAATATTATATTTCGTTAAGGAGAACCAGGAAGAAAAATGTATTTTTTATTATCAGGGGAAGTAGGAATATTTGTTCCAAAATCAAATCAAAGTTAAGAAATCTAAAACTTGATTTGCCAGTAATTAATAAATAATATATTTAAGTGATTTTAAAGACATTCAAGAAATTCAGTTTTAAGAGTTTAGATTAGTTGCTATTAAGAAATTTGGAGATGTCTTTGGAGAAATTGCTATTGAATAAAGAGTAACTAGAACTGCAACTGTAATAGCTAAAACTGATGTTTTTGTAGCATAATTATCATATGAAATGTATTAAGATGTAATTGGAAAACATTAGAATGAATTAACTGCTTAAAAGCTTTAATTTATTAATACTATACCACTTTTCTAAGATTGGGAATAAAAATAAAAATTAATAGCCTTATCTAGTTTTGAATAGAATACAATTACATGTGGATAGAGTATTTTCTAAACTGGATATTTAGATGAATATATTTATTTAGTAGTAAGTGGAGAAGTTGAGATAATTAAATTTAATAAGGTTTAATCAAGTTTGTCTTAAAATCAAATAAAAAAGATATAAATTATAGCCATAATTAATTCTGGATAATTTTTTGGTGATTATGAACATATAAATAATATTCCTAATAGAATTACTTCTGCTAAAGCTAGAATGGAAACTGTATATTATAAAATTAAGTATAATCTCTTTATAGATCTTTTAGAGATGTATTCAAATGTAGAAGAATATAAAAAAGCTTAAATGATTAAATTTAATATATAATAGTCTTTAATTAATAATGGATAAAATTGGTAAAGTGAAAATTAAGATGAATAACTTTCATTGAATATAGATCTAAGTCAATTAAAAAATAATTATTTCAAAAATTAGAAAATAGAAAGACTAAAAAACTAGTTAAAAAAATAGATTTTTAAAACTGATGATTAAATTAAAAAAGATTATTTTAAAGAACAACTAAAAACTGTAAGTCAATCTTTAAGTGTATTCGAAACTATTTAACTAAAAAAATACTCTAATTTAATACCTCATAAACATGATTTTTTTGTTAATGAATAAAATTGTATATCATCACCTAATCATACTCGTTCATAAAAGTTTTTTAGTAAGGTTTTTGAATAAAATTAAGAATAAAAAGAAAAGAAAAAGTAAAATACCAATAAATTTATAGATAATCAAATTAAATATCATTTGAATAAGAAATTTAAAGGAATATATAGAAAACATACTAAAAGTTATAATGTTAAATTAGAATAATCAGATTCAATATCATATTCAAAAATTATTTAAAGCAAAGTTGCTAAACTTAATCTAACTAAATCTTATGAAAAGATGTAAAGAGCAACATCTGAAGATGCTTTCAAACAAGAAGAACGAACTCCTCATACTCATTTATCTCTTCATATTCGATCCTATCATAAAGAAAATCTTACTACTAATAGGTCAATTTTATTTAGAACAAATAGAATATCATCTAAAAAACCAGATACAAAAGAGTTCAAATTTTAGAAAATGATTTAATTTTGATTATAATAATACATAAGTAAATTAAGAATTATCTATTTAAGCTTTTAGAAAAAACTTTTTGAAAAAACAAGAATTTAATAAATAATCTAATCTTTTATATCTAAATAATTAATAAAGAACAAATTTTTATTTGTTTTCAAGATGAATTTAGTTTTTTTATATTAAAATCAGTAAAATTATATATGATTTTTTTCTTATATCTCTCATTCTGAATTCATACAAGTATAGAATAAGAAAAGTAATCGAAATTAAATCTAAACACATTTATTTATCATTTCAAGATATCATAATAATAAAATTAATACATAAATGCAATAGACATAATTTCTAGGAAAAAGAATTAAACTTCAATAAATTAGTTTGACTGGGAATTATGAATCTCCACCTTTACCAACCCTTCCAAATATTCAAGGTTTATTTTCTCCAAGATTGGCTCATCAAAAAGAAACAATATAATCTCCAAGAAAAAAAGTATATACTAAGCCATCTTAGAGTGGTAAGACTAATGTACCTCTTATTTCATAATCATCAAGAAATCTAGATGGATTTAACATTACATAATAATTTTCAATATCTCCATGTAAAAGCTATAGAACTAGTTTACGTTGTTTAACACCACATGAAATAAACTTTAGAAAAAATCTTGATCATATTTATATTGTTAAACAACCTGTTAATGATATTAGCTAACTAAAGATTATGTAAATGAGTAGATAAAAAGTAAACAGCGGATATAAGGAAGATGACATTTATTTGAAAAAGAAAAAACTATTACTTGAAGCATAAATAGCTTTGGGTGCTACTAGACTCCATACATAATTAGCATTATTTGATTATCAATAAATTAATTTTTTTGAGGAAATTCCATAAAACTGCAAACTTGTATTTTTAGGTAATAAAACTATGATGGATTTTTGGGAAATTTTATTTGCTTTTCATAATTTTGAATTTTAAATTGAGAGACAAAATAAAATCTTAAATATTATTTAATATGTTAATTCTACAGATGAACTTCTTAAATTCTTATAAGATAAAGAAATATTTCAAGAAGTATTAGAAAGCAATGATATTTGTAGTCCTATGGAAAATTTAATTCTTCCAATAACAGCAAGATCTAAATAATAATTTTAAAAATCTAATACATCAAATGATTTATAATTTAAACTTGATTAAAATCTTAAAAAATAAATGCATATCTTAAAAACTGAAGAAAATGAAGAAATCTAAATGATTAGAAATAGATTAGATGAAAGTCTTAAGGATTATAAAATAGAAGTGAAATCTGATACAATTTAAGATCTTCTAGAAAAATAAGGTTTAAATAAGAATATTAAACAAAACTAAAAAAAATGTAACTTTAACATACATAAATAGATTTAAAACTGTCTAATTTTAAAAGTTAATGTAGTACAATAGCGAAAACATAATCTAAAAATCAAACCTATAAAAATCAATTTACTAAATTTCCTCTTTATATAGCATAATCATAACCATTAGCAACTTATTATAATATTCCAAAATTAATGGAAAAAACTGGACTTAACAGAAGTGAAATTCATGAAATATATTCAAGATATAAGGCATTATTGAGTTTTGAATGTACTTAAATACCAGGAATGACTAAAGAAAGTATAATTTATTATTAATTAAGTGTTACCTAATGGAATTAGTAGAGATTCATTTGCAGCAGGACTTAATGAATTATCAATGGCCCCTGCAGGTGTGATTGATTAATTATTTAATTTATTTGCAATAGAAAATAGCTTAGATTTTGAAGGATTTCTTTAGATTATTAATTTAATAACAGCAAAGAGTAATGAAAAAAAAATTGAATTAATTTTAAAAGTAAATATTGAATTAATTAGTTAATTGATGAAAATGGAAATGGGTTACTCTCTTATGAAGAAATATCATAAAGATGTGAAATGATGATGGATTCTATAATGAAATGTAATATTGGAGAACCATGCACTAATAATATGGTTGATATAATTACTAAATCTATTTTTGATGTATAAATGATTACTATAATAAGGCAGTCGAAATGAATTATGATGAAGAAATACCAATAGAAAAACTTAGATTACTAATTGAAAGTAGAAGTTAGGCTTCTAAAGCATTATTAATGATGTGTTGTGGAGATATAAATTATATTGATTGATTACTTATAGGTTATATGCTTTATTTTTGATAATTTTATTAAAGCAGTAAAAATGCTTAAACATTTATATGTCAAATAAATTAATTTCCTCTTTTTTATATTAATTTATATTTATTTCTTTACTTTATTATTTTAATAATAAATGGTGTTTATTCTAACTCTAGAGCAAGCTTAAATATCTATAAAAATTGATAAACCAAGCTATTTTCCTGGAGATATTATAAAAGGAGTCATATACATAAAAATAAAGACAAAAGATATAAATGCTGGTATAATGAACTTAAAAGTAAAAATTGATAATAAAATATTTTAGCTTTGTGGCCAAGAAAAAGTAAATCAATTAGATTAACAAAATTAGTTTTACAGTTTCAAATAGTTCATTTATAAAAAATAAAAGAAAATCACTGATTTTGGAAAGTATCGAAAAATTAAAGTAATAGGAAAATGCCAATCATAGCATGCAGAAAATATTTTGAAATTGAGGTTCCAAATATATCACCCAGTTTTACAATAAACTATTATAAGATGGTACAATGCAGAATCTTATATTTTCTCTCAGTTACTATTTCAAGTGAAGATGAAAAATATTTATATAAGCCTCCAAAGAAACATAGAATAGTGATACACATCCTTTAAAAACCTCAAATTCAACCTAATTTATCATTAGAACATATAGGGGAATCAAAGATTACCCAAAGATGTTGCTTTTCAAGTGGAGTAATATTTTAAAATGTATCATAGACCACAAAAGTTATGATATAA